AGCCCCTAGCTACCCCCTCCCGGCATCCTCCACTACCCCCCGCCCGCACACAGCCCCTAGCTACCCCCTCCCTGCACCCTGAGCTGTTTTCAAGCTTTTTGAGCTGAGCCTGCCCCCACCTTTGAGTTATAATTTTTGGTTGCACCCCCTGCCCCCACAATCCAGACAGGCGGGCAGCCTGCTGAGGTGAGTCAGGGGGTGGAGGTGGTGCCCGGAGCCCGCCGTGCGGAGCTGGCTCAAGCCCTGCTGGCCTCTGCCCAGACAAAATAGAAGTCAACCTAACCTATGCCTGAGCCCTCCCCCTGCCCAGATGGGAGCTGGGAGCACAGGGAGGGGTCCCCTGGGAGCTGGGGCATGGGGTCAGGTCACCCTAACACTTCCTGGTCTCTTCTTTGCCCTGTCGGTTTTAGTCCCCTCTCTCCCCACCCCACCTGGTTCTGGCTCCCATTGGCTGGCCGAGACGCCTCACTCACTGTCCATTGGCAGCGTGACTCTCGTTCAGGCCGCCGGCTCGCAGAGGCGGGAGCAGGAGCCGGGCTGAGCCGGAGCAGGGGAGTGGAGGCTGCACCCGCAGGCAGCATGGGGATGCCCGAGCCCTGGCTCTGCACCCGGGTGTCCCACTGGTGAGGTCCCTAGTGCCTGGCCCTATGGCCAGCCTGGGGCGATGAGGGGCTGGGCCACAGGCGTGATCGGAGAAGGTGCAGGCCAGGGCTGCATGACAGTGGTAGATCCGTACAGCTGTGTTGCCTTGGGGCGTGAGAAATCCCCCACGAGCAACGCGGTCACACCAGCCTGGCCTGTGGGGACAGCGCTCGGCCAGCGGGAGGAGGTTCATTGCGCTGCCGGGAGTTTCTCCCGTCGGGGCAGGAGCGTCTTCACTAGCGCGTTACAACTGCGCAGTCCCATGGGTGCAGCTGCAAGTGCCGCGTGTCGTGAGAAGACCTGACCTGAGGTGCCACATAAAGGCCAGATCCTCCCCAGGAGCTTTGTGAACCAACCGAGAGCGGGGCCCGCGGGGAGCACCTGGTACCAAGCTCAGGCACTGCCCTAAGAGCATCTCTGGCCCCCTGCCCCGGCGGAATTGGACACCCTACACAAAACAGTCTCCCTGGGCCAGGTTCAAGGGAGGGGTTCAAGGGAGAACCACACAGGACTGACCCATTTTTCCGATGGAAAATGTTTATTTGGCTCCTGGTGCCTAGAACTCGAGGTGGGCGGCGCCGGATGCCCGAGAGAAACGAACCCCCGGGCTGAGCGCGCTGGACAGGAACCGCCTGAGTGAGCGAAGGGCCGTTTAGCAGGAAGGGCGTCTCCGAGGGGCTGTGCAGCGGCTGTTGCACTCTGTGCCCCGGGCAACGGGCAGCGAGCAAAGGAGCGAGCCAGGGGGATGAACCTGCCAAGGGGCGTCCCAGGAAGGGCCCGGCTCGTGGGAGAGAATCCGACACCTCCCAGGGAATCCAGAGAGGGCAAGTGGGAATCACGGCTCAGCAACAGCTTCACCCCAAGGGCCAAGAGCGATAAAAACACCAGAGACTCATTTGCCTCCCGCGCTAGAGCTTTACTGGGAAAGGAACTAAACTGCAGCGTGGGGGGCGTGGGCAGCGATTCTGGGGGTGTAACCGGAGAGCGAGGGGAGATGGAGACAGAGACGGCGCCTCTGCAGCCCAGCAAACAGCCCTGACACCGGGTGAGACACTCTCGAGAGAGCCCAGAACAATTCCGGACGCGGGGGTGGGGGGTGGGGGAGGAGGCAGGAGCTGCAGAGTGGGGTCACGGTGCTGCTGGGTCACCGGACACCGTCGCTCCTCACGGCTTTGCCCACGTTCCGTCACTTGATCCGGGTGAAAACGTTTGTGCCGACCCTGCGGGGAAGCGCAGAGCTGAGGTTACTGGCCCAGCACGGGCCTGCGCTCGGGGCTGCCCCATATACGGGGGGAGGGGAGAGGGGGAGAAGGGCACAAGGTGCATTAATCTGAGACAGATAGGAGCCCTAAGAGGCACCTCCTACAGGCGCTACCTCAGGGGGGCACCCAGCCGCCAGCCCAGGGAGGCAGCGTGGCTATGGGTACCCTGCACTGGTCTGGCCTCAGAGCCACCCAGCAGCACCCAGGGGTGGGCAGGGGCTCTGGGGCTGCTCATCCAGCCATCCCCTCCTGGGTGGATCAACAAGGCCCCCCTTTGTGCTTTTCCCTGGCCACTGACTCGGCCCCCAGGGGATGCCCCCCCACAAGATGCCCACACCCCCGGTGGGCTGCTCACCCATTAGCGAGTTCTCGGAGAAGAGCTGTGGGAGGACATGGCCCTGGCCCTGGCCTGATCCGCCAGGGATCACACACAGCCATGGGGTGTGGCAGGGCCCAGGGAACTCAGCAAACCTTCATCCTTCCCTAGCAAGTGTCACAGGTTCCTAGAGTCCTAGGGCAGAAGGGACCATTGTGATCTGTGTCCGACTCCTGCACGGCACAGGCCCTAAGACCGGTCCGACCCCCTGCACAGGCCTTAGAGCTTTCCCCCTAAAATTCCTAGAGCACATAGGGGGTCCCCCAAGAGTTTGTGATTCGGTGCTGAGAGCCCTGCCCTGCCCCACCTCATCCCACACGGGGTTCCCTGCATCTCCAGCACCACGGGCTCAGAGCCGGGTCAGGATCCCAGCCCTTGGCACAGCACCGAGCAGAGACAGGGCCAGGCCCTGCAACCCCAGCTCCGCAGGCGGTACCTTCGCTCCTGGCCAGTCTGTGCCCAGTCACCCACCTGGTCGCTTCCCAGTTGGCGCTGGGGGATCCAACCTCCTTGCGCAGCAGCCACGTGGTCTGCAGGGTCTCCTCTCCCTGGTCATCCATGAAGCACTGGCCCACGAAGACGCTCATGGAGTCTGGCGGAGACTCTGACAGGTGATAGAGTGACAGGGTCAGGGCTGCTGGCTCTGAGACCCCCCAGCGGGCCCCCAGACGGAGCCCAGAGCCCCAGGGAGTTTGCTGCGTGTCGCTGGGGTGTTGCTGCTCACCTGCCATAGTGACCCAGAGCGACCCACTGGGTCCCCAAGGCTGGCTCCAGCCTCCCCTGTGGCCCCGCTCCACCTCTTCCTGCCCCCACTCTGCCCCTCCCCAAGGCCCCCGCTCCCCTGCCACTGCCTGCCCTCCTCCAAACCCTCCTGGAGCTGCCAAACAGCTGTGGCTGGTGGGTGCTGAGCACCCAGAGCACCCACGGCATCGCACCTGTGTCCAGGATCCGTGCATTTCCTTCCGTGCCTCACAGCCAAACCTCACTCAGCCCCTCACTGTACCCTGCCTTCACCGGGCTCCACTGGCCTCCCACACAGACACCTGCAAGGGCAGCCACTGACGGCACCTGCCCCCTCCCTGTCCTCTCGGATCCCTGCACTGACGCCCCTTCCCCTCCCTTCAGCGCTCTGCCCCAGTGTAGCCCCACCTTGCCATGATGTGTCACTCCCTCCTGCTCCTTGTGCAGTCACCACTGTGCTTCCCCCCACGGCCCCCTGGGCCTGGTGCCCCCTGCCCCACGCTCACCCACACGGCCCCTGGGCCTGGGGCCCCCTGCCCCACGCTCACCCACACGGCCCCTGGGCCTGGGGCCCCCTGCCCCACGCTCACCCACACGGCCCCTGGGCCTGGAGCCCCCGATCACCACATTTCAGTTCCCATTAAAACCCAGCATCCAGATGACCTGCTGTTCCCCTTCCCCAAACCGCTGCCTCCGGGTCTGTCTTTCCTTACTCTGGGAGCTCTTTGGGGCAGGACCACCTGCCTTGCACACCCGAAGAGTCCCCAGACATGCACATGGGCTCTGGCGTAAACAAAAATACATTAAACATCTTCACTGAGCAGATGCAAAAACCGCATCGCCCCCATACTGCCTTGCTGAGAGTCCCTGAACCTGGGTCTCTCCAGTGTAAGAGCATGGGGTTTTGGTATAAGCCCCGGCAGTAAGGATACACCATATAAAAACATAAGAGCATTAGAACGGCCAGACTGGGTCAGACCAAGATCCATCCAGCCCAGTGTCCTGTCTGCCGACAGTGGCCAATGCCAGGTGCTCCAGAACAGAACGGAATCATCGAGTGATCCATCCCGTCGCCCAGTCCCAGCTTCAGTGTGTATTACAGAAGAGAGATTTAAGTCACTATTTTCTTTATTAAAGGAAGTGACATTAGAAGCATGGTTTAAACCAGGATCCTCTGTCTTCCACAATTCCACAACATGGAGTTCTCCCCTGGCTCCTGAATTATTATTATGTTTAATATTAAAATTGTGTTTCTAGCCCTTCTAGTAGCAGAGAGAACCTTGAAAACCTGGCCTGTGCATAGAGCAAATCTGCAGAACACCTGCAGCACTTGCTGAACGATGGGACCGTCCCAGTCAGGGGTCCACAGAGTCCATGGCTTTGCAGCTGCAGAAGTTGATATTTTTGCCGTGGAAATTCACTATTGTGCTACACCAACACGTTTCCCGTCTCCCTGCCCTGCCTGCAGCAGCCTCCTGCTCCCCCAGGAGGAGTCAACTGGATTTCAGGGCTGGGGGAAGGAGGTTTTGCGCTGGGCCACCTGAAGACAACTTCCAAGTTGTTGTGGAAAGTAAGTGTGACAGTCACCCTCTGGGCACCGAACTCAGGATCTCCCCAGCTAAAGCACAACACCCTACAGCAGGGGTCGGCAACCTTTCAGCAGTGGTGTGCCGAGTCTTCATTTATTCACTCTGATTTAAGGTTTCGCGTGCCAGTCATACATTAACGTTTTTAGAAGGTCTCTTTCTCTAAGTCTATAATATATAACTAAACTATTGTTGTATGTAAAGTAAATAAGGTTTTTAAAATGTTTAAGAAGCTTCGTTTAAAATTATATTAAAATGCAGAGCCCCCCGGACCGGTGGCCAGGACCCGGGCAGTGTGAGTGCCACTGAAAATCAGCTCGCGTGCTGTCTTTGGCACGCGGGCCATAGGTTGCCTACCCCTGCCCTACAGTGTGAGCTGCAAAGCTAGTGTCTGTAACGGACTCACATCCACCGTGGCTCGAGCATCGACGAGGACGCGTAACACACTGGTCAGTGGATTACATGAGCATCACGAAGTTTCCATCAACGAGTATTTTTCATTGCGAGCTGTAGCTGGATGTGTCTGGCATGGCAGGGAATTCCATGGAGACAGAGATCCCCACCCTGAGCCTTCCCGGCGGGTCCTTCTCCCCAGACCAGTCTGGAGTGCTTCCATTCTCTCCGCCTTTGCTTAAAGTTTGATTCGACCATCACTCACCTCCTCCCAGCCTAAGCCTGGACTGCCAGGCACCGGGCTTCCAGGGCTACCTCCAGAGACCACCACAAGCGGCTCCAGGCCTCTCACTGACTGAGGAACAGGCTTGCCTTATACACTGTCCTGCTCCCAGCTGACCTCAGTCCCAGGTAGCCCCGAGTCACTGAGCCCCCGGACGACAATTCCCAGCATCCCATCGCCTCACAGGGCTGAGGCTAGCCCCTTAAAGAGGCCAGCCCTCCCCAAGAGTGGGGAATGAGACCCCCAGCCTTGTCAGCCCCCTCTCAGACCACGCTTACCCCTGGCTCCGCCTGGCCGGCACCGAGGCAGAGCAGGCTACACACCTGAGAACTGCCACTTCACGGTGAACCCGAAGGTTGGCTGCTCCTTCTGGCTGGCGCTGTGCTGGATTCCGTGCAGACGCGACGACAGGAGATCAGCTCTGGGGGCCATTGCTGCAGAGAGGTACGAACCTGAGAATGCTCCCGCCTCGCTGAGTTCGGATACAACCATCTTGCAGCCCAGGCTGCTCCTCCACGATCCGGACAGGACACACTGGAAAGGGAGGGACGCGGTCAGCAGGACCAGGGTCCCACCCAGCACTGCAGGGCCTGATGCTCAGCCGAGGCGATGGCCCTGCCAGCCCGGAACGAGGGCACAGACTGCTCAAACCGGAGATGAAAATGAAGTCTTGGTGTGCGCTCTGCTTCCTGAGTTCTCCAGCGGAGCCCCTTCGCTCCCCACCTGTCTCTGGGTCTTTCAGCTGGGGATTCCACCAGAAATGCAACTAACTGAATAAATCCTAAACCCTAAACACAGAACTGGGGGCCCCTCTGCTTTCTCCTTCCTAACCCATAGGGTGCGGGGAGCTCTCCTCCATTCCCTCGCCACTCGCTCCCTCTCCCCACAGGCAGAGGAGTTGACTGAGGCAGCTGCAGGTCTCTGCACCCGAGAGCAGTGGGGCCCAGGCTGGGTGAGGGTCCTGGAGAGGTGACAGGCCCCATGGGGCTCGTACTGTAACGGGATGCTAAGCTGTATCGCGCTGTTCGGCCACGAGGTGGCGCTGTGTGGCCCACACTTTATTTAAGCCATCGTGGGCCATCGCTGGCAGACCATTAAAGGAGCTGCAAAATACAAACTGACCCACAATCACAACACTTACGCTAGACAAAAACAGGTTGGCTGACATGTTTTACTTGACAAGTCTTAGAACCCTAATGTAGACAAGGCCAGTTGTAGGTTAAGTATTGGTTGGTCAAGGTGAACCTTATGTGGGAGCCTAGGCTGCAACATAACCAGCTAACACGTGTTAAAATACAGCTCATCTGGCTTACAGCTGGGTTTTAAAAATGTTACTTAAAACATTAGCAACCTGTTTTCGAGAACCTGCCCTTTTCCTAGTCCAATCCCTAGAACCACCGGGCCCTTCCTTCCCGAGGGCAGACAAGGGATTGTCACCCTGTGAGATACTGCTGGGTCCTGCCAGTCGGCTGGTATAACTTGGGTAACCGGAGGGGTGGGGAAAGCTGAGCTGGGTGCATGTAGCACAGCTACGCTCGGCATCCTGCTTTGTAATCTGCCATCTTGGTGGTGATGGGGGACTTCAACTACGCAGAGACCTGTGGGGAAAACAACACCGCAGGGCACAGATTATCCAACAAGTTCTTGGAATGTATTGGAGACAATTTTTTAGTTCAGAAGGTGGAGACAGCTACTAGGGGAGAGGCTGTTCTAGATTTGATTTTGACAAACCGGGAGGAACGGATTGAGAATTTGAAAGCGGAAGGCAGCTTGGGGGAAAGTGATCATGAAGTGAGAGAGTTTGTGATTCAAAGGAATGGTAGGAGGGAGAACAGCAAAATAAAGATCATGGATTCCAAGAAGGCAGACTTTAGCAAACTCGGAGTTGGTAGGTATGATCCTATGGGAAGCAAATCTAAGGGCAAAAACAATTGAAGAGAGTTGGCAGTTTTTCTAGGAGACATTATTAAGGGCACAAGAGAAAGCTATCCCATTGCATAGGAAAGATAAGAAGTATGGCAAGAGGCCACGCTGGTTTAACCAGGAGATCTTCAATGACCTGAAACTCAAAAAACAGTCCTACAAAAAGTGGAAACTCGGTCAAATTACAAAGGATGAATATAAACAAACAACACAAGTATGTAGGGACAGAATTAGAAAAGCCAAGGACAAAACCAGATTAAACTACTTAGAGACATAAAGGGTAACAAAAAACAAACAAACATTCCACAAATACATTAGAAACAAGAGGAAGACCAAGGACAGGGCAGGCCTGTTACTCAATGAGGGGAAAGAAAACAATAACAGAAAATGTGGAAATGGCAGAAGTGCTAAATGACTTTTTTGTTTCAGTTTTCACCAAAAAGGTTAGTAGTGATTCAACATGTAACACAGTAAATGCAAGTGAAAATGGGATAGGATCAGAGGCTAAAATAGGGAGAGAAAAAGTTAAAAGTTACTTAGATAAGTTAGATGTCTTCACGTCACCAAGGCCTGATGAAATACATCCTAGAATACTCAAGCAGCTGACTGAGGAGATATCTGATCCATTAGCAATTATCTTTGAAAAGTCATGGAAGATGGGAGAAATTCCAGAGGACTGGAAAAGGGCAAATCTAGTGCCCACCTATAAAAAGAGGAATAAGGACAACCCGGGGGATTACAGACCAGTCATCTTAACTTCAGCATCCAGAAAGATAATGGAGCAAATAATTAAGCAATCAATTTGCAAACACCTAATAGATAATAAGGTGATAAGTAACAGTCAGTGTGTATCAGTCAAGAACAAATCATGTCATACTAACCTGATAGCTTTCTTTGACAGGGTAATAAGTCTTGTGGATGGGGGGAAGCGCCCGGCCCCCTCGGCCCCTCACCCTGCCCCAGCCTGAGACACCCCAGAGCCAAGCCCCTTCAGCCCCTCGCCCTGAGACACCCCAGAGCCAGTGCCCAGCCCCCTCGGCCCTTCAGCATGCCCCGGCCTGAGACACCCCAGAGCCAGCACCCAGCCCCCCCGGCCCCTCACCCTGCCCCAGCCTGAGACACCCCAGAGCCAGCACCCAGCCCCCTTGGCCCCTCACCCTGCCCCAGCCTGAGACACCCCAGAGCCAGCGCCCAGCCCCCTTGGCCCCTCAGCCTGCCCCGGCCTGAGACACCCCAGAGCCAGCACCCAGCCTCCTTGGCCCCTCACCCTGCCCCAGCCTGAGACACCCCAGAGCGAGTGCCCGGCCCTCTCGGCCCCTCACCCTGCACAGTCTGCCCCATACCTTTCTCTCTGAAGAGGTGCTGAGGGTCACCAGAGCCAGGGCAAGGATCAGGGAGAAGCCGATTTTCCCCATCATCTCTTGGAGTAGAAGCCGCCTGCAGAAGCCAATTGAGTCTCCCCGGCACTTAGTCTGGGGCCACCAGTCAGGCCCCGTCTTTATATCCCCTCGCAGCGGGCCGGGGCTGCAACCTGAGCTGCGTTGGTTCTCTCCTGGCTGGCAGTTCCCAGAAGTGAGCGGGCACCTCGGTTATTTTGATTATGTCTCACTGACATTCAATCTGCAGTCCAAGCCGCTGGCAGGGCCAGCAAGACAACATGAAAAGAAGGGACGTGTGACCTGGGCAGCGATGTGAGGAGTGCGCTCAGTGACCAGCTATAGATAGATCCCAGCACACGGGAGAGCTGGACAGAGACCAGCAGGGCCATTGGCCTGCAGTGACAGGTGGAAAGGTGCCTGGCTCTGAGGGCTATGCCCTGCCATGGCTCATGGGGTGTGCGAGGGCACATTACCCCGGGCCGGTGAGAGAGGTGATGGCAGGACAAAGGTTCTCCGTGTGCCATGCACGGCAGAGCAGGGGCAAGGCGGGAACTGGAGTCAAGATCCTGAGCTTCTGAATGGTCACTAACTCCAGCGGAAATAATGACATTTCATATTAGCCAGCAACTGCCCCTGCCTCCCAGACAGGTGGCAATGAGTGTTCTGGGGCCAGCCTCTCTTAGCCAGCGCTTTGCAGTTATAACCATTACTCTGCGGCTATTCAGGACTAGGCAGAACATGTTAAAATCCATAATCCACTGTGAAGATCTTAGAATCTCTGCTAGCAAACCGAGGGCCAGTTCCAGTCTTTGGGTATGTCTACACTACGAAATTAGTTCGAATTTATAGAAGCCGGTTTTATAGAAATCGGTTGTATACAGCCGATTGTGTGTGTCCCCACATAAAATGCTCTAAGTGCTCTAGTCGGCAGACCGCGTCCACAGTACCGAGGCTAGCGTCGACTTCCGGAGCATTGTACTATGGGTAGCTATCCCACAGTTCCCGCAGTCTCCGCCGCCCATTGGAATTCTGGGTTGAGATCCCAATGCCCGGATGATGCAAAACAGTGTCGCGGGAGGTCCTGGGTACATGTCGTCAGGCCCCT